AACTGAACTTCTCCAAAGTTTCTTTAGCAAAAGAGGAAGCATACAAGTGTTGCGGGAAGTGTGTCTGTGTGTATCTGTGTGTAAGCTTCAATAAGCAGAAAAGAAGACACAACGCAGAACTGAGCATCAGGCAGAATATATAAGGAATTGCACATGGGACGTGTTAAAGATTTTGAACAACTGAAGTGTAACAGTTCTGTTTGATTCAGGTGGGTGGCATAAGAAAAGTATTTGACATAATAGTCCCAGTATTATCTCGAAAATGTGTGTGTGGAGAGAGAGAGAAGAGAGGGAGAGGGAAGGGGAGAAGCAGGGAGGGGGGAGAGAGAGAGAGAAAAAGAGAGAAAGAGAAAGAGAAAGAGAAAGAGAGAAACCTTTTCCCAAACTTGAGAAATGAATCTATCAGCCTGAATCAGTGGGATTTTGTACGGTCTAAGACTATGGATCATTATGGCCGTGGGTTGTCAGAGAAAACAGAAAAGAAAGTAGAGAGAGGGTGGTGTGTGTGATTTATGGCGCAACGTGCTATTTCTTTTCTCTCTGGCCTTTTAACAGAGAGGGGGGGCTATACAATGGAACAGGTTGAATGGCTGGTTCGGATGTGTCCACTGTTTCTCCCCCCTCCCTTTTCCCCCATTGGGAAGGAGCTTATATGGTGGCTGACGCCAAGGAAGGGGCTCTGTCCCTTTAAGGTCGCGGCATGCTCTGGTATGATGTTTAGAAGGACAGCTGGGCAATGGCCATCTGACTGACTTCGGCTTGACATCTGGGAGCCCACTGGTGTGTGGCACGCGAATCGCTTGATGTCGCTATTTAAATGCAAATTTGTGGGGGATCATTGAAGCCTCACCCCGTAAATTCACACAAAAGGAACACTTCACCCACTCCAAGGAGGAGGAGGGCTGCGACTTCGGGAGGTCTTAGTTGCAATATGCAAATCTCATTCAGATCCACCGCACCTTCTGCCTGACCAAGTTTGCTAAGGTCAAGTCTTTGGGGAGGGGGAGGGGGAGAGGGAGAGGGGGGGAATGTGCGGGGGAAGGGGCTGATTGGCGGTAGCTGGGCTCTACCCGAGCCAGGCTTGCACCAGCTCAGCTGAAGCTTCCAGCTCTCTTGGCTTCCACCTTTGAACTGGCGAGAGGCGCTTCTGTAATAGGAAAGGCAAGACCGCTCCTGCGTCGAAGTAGGCCTGACTGGCCCACCGCGAGTCGCAAAAGTTTTTAAAACCCTCAACAAGTTTCGTCCCACGCCTTCCCCTCCCCCCCCTTCCAGGAGAAAACACAATGCTTGCTTTTTCTTTCTTTTCTCCTGGTCCCCGTGAACTTCACCTTAACAGCAGGGCTTACAGGCGACTTTGTTTCCGTCCTCCTCTTCCTCTTTCTCTCCTTCCCACTCTAGGAGAAGAAAGGCCGCGTTTTTCTCGGAACACACTGATTTCCCCGAAGTATTATTAAAAACAATCTTCCTCTCATACTAAGTAGCCCTTTCAACAGGAGGCAGAAATCCCCCGCCCCTCCCTCCCCCCCCCTATGCCCGGGGCAAAGGCGAGGCGTTTGCGCCCTACCCTTTTGGTGGGATAGAAAACCTGGGCTTAGGAAAGAAGGTGCTTAAAACAAACAAGTCCTTGGAGTCGAAGTCACACTTCTGATCTAAACCCGGGCAGTAATTTCTTTCTTTCTTTCTTTCTCTTTCTTTCTTTCTTTCTTTCTTTCTTTCTTTCTTTCTTTCTTTCTTTCTTTCTTTCTTTCTTTCTTTCTTTCTTTCCTTCTTTCTTTCTTTCTTTCTTTCTTTCTTTCCTTCTGTAAACATGGCTTGTAGTCAAAAAGGAAAAAAAGAGGAAAGAGGCAAGAAAAGCAAAGTCGGTGAACGATAAAGACCGTATTTTCCACGCTTTAGGTTCAGGGCCACATGATCTAGAAAATGAGCTGAAATAGATTCAGCCTCAGAGTCTAACGTGAAGAGCAGCTGACTCCCTATTTCTGGCCAGATGGCTTCTGAACACAGATTTGCATTCATTTTCGCTTAATATCGTCCAAAATAGCGGGGCAGCTGCATTTGTTGTCAAAAAGGTTTAAAAGTCTCCTTTTTTTTTCCTTCTCTCGGGCAGAATCGTTACCTTATGTGATGGGGGCTTATGCAACTTTCACTCCCTCCCCCAGCCTCCCTCTCCCCTTTTAGTCAACAGTATCAGATTTAAAAGGATTTGTTTTAAAACCTTCTAATTTGGTAATCAGATTTAAATCGCCTTGGCATGTGTAATCTGAATTAAAGATACTGTACAGTAAATGGTCTGAAGCGTGGTGACATTCTGAACCTGGGCTAGAGGTAACTTCAGCAGCGGTCCTCTCCCCCCCCAAAGGGGTAACCGTGCAATCTTTGCTCCAGGCTAAGGGGGGAAAAATACTTTAAAAGAAGAGCGGGGTGGGGGGTGGGGCGGGGTGGGATGGGGACCAGGCAAAGAAACCAGACAGCCGTTATTTGTGAATAATGACTGCAGCAA